CTTGAACAACAGTAAATAGTAAAATAGCACAAATACTGTAAAAAGAAAAGAAATTGTGTCAAATTTTTGAAAATTACCAGAGCCATCATATGCTCAGGAGCTGAACTATTTGTAAGAAAGATGAAGTTAATCCCGCGCTTTAATTCTGAATTTAGAAAAAGATCCAATGCAACTTATGCTCTCCTAATACAAATGCTGAAATTTTTGAAAATTTTGGGTTTTGAACCAAATACGAGGGTTGGTCAGAAAGTAATGGAAAAGACCCGATGCTACTTATGCTCTCCTAATACAAATGTTGGAATTTATGAAAATTTTCGGTTTTGAGCCAAATACGAGGGTTGGTCAGAAAATAATGGAAAAAGATCCGATCCAACTTATGCTCTCCTAATACAAATGTCGGAGTTTTTGAAAATTGTTTTTTTAAATTTTGTTTCATAACTTTTCGACCGGCCCTCGTATATGATGCAAAACTGAAAATTTTGTTCAATCTGAAATTTTGTATTAGGAGAGCATAAGTCGCAAAAGGTCTTTTTAAAAGTACCAATTTTTAGCGCGGGATCAACTATATCGCAGTCTTGTTTTTCGTTTTTCTACATTGTTCGGCCTTGAAACGTTTAATTGTACTATTATTAATCATGATTTATGTTCATTTCCAGTATTATTAAATTTCTCAAAAGATGTCTTAGTGTTATTTTTAATAAGTAAAAAGATGTTTATATCAAAATAAGGTTTATTTAGCAATTTCATATATATTTTATTTAAATAAAATAAAATTTGTTCAATAATACATTTATTGTTGCAAATTAATAGCATTTATAATAAACACAACGTATGAACATCGATAGATAAGTATTTCAAATAACAATACTTTAATATAAACAAAATATCTAAGATATAATACATTCTAACGACTTATAAAAGTTAAAAATAAAATACCTGTAAGAAAGACAACAAATTCAATAAAATTTCAAAGAAAATACATTTATTATTATACATAAACTGTCATACAATTATTATTTAAATGCAAGATTAGGGAGAAAAAAGCCTCCCCAACCTTTTGTGGCCTCCGCATTTCTTGCAGCCACCCTATCCACCCAAAACGAACATTAATTTTGAATGCGTAAACAAATAATTAATTTAATTTAACAATTATACCAAAAAATCAATTTAGAAACATTTTAAATATTAACCTAAGTTATGATTATAAAGATATAACAGTTTATGCAGTAAAAAACAAAATACCTGTAAGAGAAAGACAAGAAAACACATAAAATTTCAAAGAAAATACAATAAAAAGCAAAAAATACGATGTCTTCAGTCTTCTTCGGTTACCTGAAAGCGAATAGTGCAATTACAAGGACTAACGACAAATACTAATAGCTTTGGTAGAGAAGATCGGACAGATTTCGCCAAGGCAAGCTGGGCAGTCGCCTATTGCTCCTATTCCAGATAACCCACTGTACCCTGTCTGAAAGGAAGTAACGCTAGAGTAGACTCGCGAAAAGTGTATAAGACACTTTTAAGATCAACTAAATAGCTAAGCCCAAGGGAAGTCGTTCGGGGAGGCCCTCCCTAATTCCACAAGGGTGAGAAGAAACACACACGATAACGAAACGTTGAATCATGTAGAACTCGTAGGGTAAATGCAAAGCAAAATAGTAAGAATATGCAGTAAGCTAAGCAAAGAGGTAAGCAAGAGACATGTTAGACTATACTACAACTACTAAACGTGTTAGCTACTCTACTACTATATACAAAAAATAAAATAAGAACGTCTACAATCAACAATTACTTTAAATAAATGAACAAAATAAGCATGCAAAATAAAAACTAATTCAAATAAAATGAACTACTAAGAACATGCAAGATAGAGAACTATTTTAACTTTGGGATCTTCTTTGTCTTCTCCACCGTCGATCTGAAACAGATAGGGTGGCAATAGATTAGTAAATGAGCAATTAATAATGTTAACTGTGGTGTATTCTCACCTTAATTAGCTGTAGAAAGTTGGAAGTGTGAAAAGCAGACCAAATACTAGAAGAACGATGATGTTGTAGAGAATTTCTTTGCCAAAAATCAACTGAGTAAAGGTCCACAGCAAACAAAGTAGGAATGAAATTCAGCTTCAATGTTCTCTCACTTGTTGACCACTCTGTAGAAACGAACAAAAAAACCAATTAATTACACTATCAAATTAATATGACATTAAATAAATTAAACACACTGTTGACTGAATTTTCTGATATCACTTCTTTATTTTATTAACTGGTGAAATAAATAAAATATAAAGAATTAGGTTTCTCCTTTTCTTTTATATTTAATTTCTTTCTTTGGCCGGAAATAAGAAACAAACTTCAATGTAACTTTGTTCATTACACAAATTGTAAGAAATTAAAAGTTCTAGAAAGGAAGCAAACAATATCCAGAGAAATCATTAGGCTACTTTTTGTTCCTCTACTCCCAAGACAAAATCATAAAACTGCAACTGTTATTTTAACTGTAATAAATTGAATGTTTAAAAAGGTATAAAGGACAACCTTAAACAAAAGTGACTAAATTTTTTATTCCTCTTTCATATATAAAATTACAACCAAACTATTACAGTTAAAAAAAATACATACAAATACAATATAAAGCGTACTTAACGTCTTATAAATTAATTTTTTCTTCAATAATACTTATAAGTCTTTAATTGCATACAGTATTTTAACAAGGTTGCTTTTAGCATTCATCCCGTCTAATCTTCTTGATAATGATTCGAAGTCCACTTTTTCTAACTGTAGTAGGTAAAGTAGTATTAAGTACGAAAAAGGAAAAAAATAATCACACTGATTGTGTAGCAAAACTAATATAAAAATGATTCACTTACTTCGTGACAAGGGTCTTCTTCTCTTGATGGGAAGTTAACAGCAAGTTCAGGGGCCAAAAGCCTTTCGCAGAGGGCAGATACACCGCAAAATGTTTGAAAATCATACTCTTCATCGTCCTTCCATTCCAACAGTTCCTTTAATTTTTTTTCCTGGATATCTGACAATTTTTTGCTCATCGTTTCATTAAGGGCTCGTGGTAAATCCTTTAATTAATTTTACAATAATTAATATAAATATTGACCAAACATTTGCAGAAGTCGCCGATTTTCGATACATTTACGTCAGAACAAAATAAAAAATTCGATGAAAGCATAAAATAAAAAAATCACTTAAGTTTGAAAATGAGCAAATATTGGAAAGAATAGGAAACCAAAGGAGCTATGGAAATTAATATGGAAAAGGAGAAGTAGGATTACCTATCAGATACCTTCCGAGACACAAAACGCTAGTTTAAAAACAGAAGGGGCAGGACAGGAGGAGTAGAGGTGGAAAAAAAATCAAAACTAATATTTAATATATTTTTTTTGTACCTTTCCCAGTATTACCCTTCTCGTACTTTTTTGCCCAATGTCATCTTCAGGCCTGTGTTTATTAAAAACACATTTATAAAGAAGTTTTCTGGCACTACTTATCACAACATTATCTCTTAGATATTCTAGAGGTGTTAGGGCTGGAAGAAATTCAGAAAATTATTCATTAATTATTCATTTGCTCTGGACAGAAAGTACTCACTCTCAAAAGTTCGACTGTCCATTGGTAATTCAAATCTGGCACTGGATCGAGAAAACATTCGTGGTAATGAAAGTATAAATTCTGTATTTGTGGGAGGTAAATTTAATTCTTCTTTCAATTTTTGGAGTTTTTCGCAATCCTTTTTTTGACTGTTTACAGTTTTCAAAGCTTCTTGCAAAGCTCTTCGTTTCTACAACAAAAAATTAAGTTTATTGTTCTCGTATTGTTCATCAATCAAAAAATATGAAGTCAAAAAAAAATTGAAACATTTTAAAGTGTTTACATATAATATGATACCCTGATGTCTTTTGACTGGTAAAATTAAAAACCTAATAAAACAATCAAATGAATACCTTTTTATCAAATTCACAGTCGACAATTTCTTCATTGAGTTGTCGTCGTAAATGCTTTAAAACATCCTTATCTAAAAAGGAATCCACATCCAACGAACTTTTTCGAACATTTTCTGAATTCTTCGTCGTGGTACCATTTGCATTACCAATATCGGCATCATTTAATGACACCGATGGCCTCTTACTGGGATTTCCAGAATCTTGACCGATTGCAGATATCTTAAACAAAAAATTACATTTCTTATTTGTATTTATAATTTAACATTTAAAATTAGAATACACCTAAGTAGAAAAAAAAAAATAAAATAATTTAATTTACCTGTGTTTCAGGATCCAAAGAGCTTTGGAAAGCTGGAGGTCCTTTTGAAGAATCCCTCCCCTTCTTCTTTCTTCTTTTCCCTCTTCTTTTAAGCGGTTCTTCGTCTTCAGCTCCCTTCTGGTTTTTTTCTGCATCTTCTGCAGTCTTCTTCGTCTCTACGACATCTAGAAGAGCCTAGAAGCAAAAAAAAAAGACATCCTGTTATTAATATTCGCTTCATTAAATAGGTAAATATTTCTCTAAGCATGTAATTGTTTTTAATAGGTATACCTTATCTCGTTTATCTTTGTACTTGGTTCCTGGAGGTATTGATCGCGTTTTATTCAATTTTTTGCGATTGTCGTCCCCTAGACTTCTTGTAGAACGCAAAGATCCACCGCCACCGTCAGCTAAAGGGGCGGGAAAAATTTTTATCAAGGGTGTTTCGTGGTATAATGAGCTGCCATACCACGACAACGTTTCCTGAAAAACATTTTTCATTACAACTATTCCTATATTTCATCATTATTAGATGACACAAAAGAAAAAAACTATTAAGTAAAGTAAATTGGAAACCATCATTTAATGAATTTTAAAACAATTAATTTAGCAATAAAGAACGTTTTTAAATATTTTAAAATTTAATATAACAAATGATAGAACTCTTTTAGATACTTATTTATCTAATCATATAAAAGTGTTTAAAGTAAAGGAAACACTTACTTGACTATGACTCCTTCTCAAATCTAAAATTAACATTGTTTTTTCTTTTATTTCTGCGTTAAAAGTGGGATCAGGTGTGATACATCTTCGGGAACCCGACGCCCTTGTGTATGCACTAGCTAAAGTTGGGGCAGGGGTTAAAGGTCGTGAGTCTGTGTCTGTGTACCTAAAATAGGGTTAAAAAATACTACTTCATATTTTCATTAAGGGCTACAAAACAAACGTTAATAAATTATTGCTATTTTTTTAAGTAAATAAATTTGTTTCTTGTAAAGTTGGGATAAAACAATTTTTTTGCATAACCCAGTATGTTATTACAATTTATTATTAGTAATTTAAGTTAATAATAATTTTTTTATTTGCATCGCTTATTGTTTTCATAGGTTTGTATTTACACTCAAAATTAGTTATAGTTTCTTAAATGTTTTGTTTCTTGAACATAATGTATTACAAACTTGAAAAGAAGCAAGTAAATTAGTCGGTGTTCTGTAAAACCTGTCTACGGCGTGCTGATGAGAACCCAAGAGATCGAAATCACGATTCGATTCTGACGGTTTTTAACAAATCATTGAAATTTGTTTCAAAAAGCAACGTTATAACAATAAAATTATATACTAATGGAATAATGATATTTCTTTTCTAATTTCTGGATTAATCTTTTTCACATATGATATTGAATAATATTGAATTAAGATTATGTGCAATGTATTATTACATTTTTTTTATTTACCTTCTAAATAATTCCTCCGGGACACTATCAATAGTTGTTTTAATTTCATCGTTTATAATCGAATAAGTATTTTCATTTGGATTTAATCTAAACTGTTCCAAATTATTACGTATTGCTTGTACTTCTTCCACAAGAAGTATATTTTTCCCTTCCGTAGCCTACAAAAATTTATTAATTTACACAATTTTAGAAACTAGATATAAAAATTCTGACAAAAAATTGTGATTATGTTCCAAGTAGTTTAATACATAATAAAGAAAATATTTCTTACCCAGGCATCTCTCGCTCTTTTTACCAATTCCTTTGAATCGCTATTTCTGGGATGATTGCACAGGAGTGAACATCCATAAGGATAAGGTTTGTACAGACCAGCAAAGGGTTTAAGAATGAGGGGTGCCGGTGTTACTATGGCTTTCAGTTCTATATCATCTTCAACCTAGAAATAAAAGTTACTTTTACTCCTATTCTTTATAAAACACACCTCTAAATTAATCAAAAGAAGATTATATTAAAAACACTAATATACCTGTCTTTTTTTAATTAATTTAACTTTTTTGGTTGGACTGGCTAATAGTCCTGTTCTACTGGTCTCTGTCATAATTAAAGTGTACGTTTGTTTGTACCTTCTTACTTTTATATCGATCAAACATCAATCCACGATAATAGCTAAGCAATAGAAGGATGAGTATAACTATTTTAATGCTTTTGTCTTGCCTTACATTTAGTTGAATTAATTTCGAAAACAATTAAGCTAATGAAGATTCAAAATAATTACATTAAAATGTTTCACCGAAAACATATGGTCATAGAATTTAACTGAAAAAATTTATTAATCAGCGAATAAATTAAACGCTTTTTTGCCAAAAAAAAATCAAGTCTACCCCTATATATTTTTTTATGTTTGTATAACTACGCATAACTTTTTACAGAAGTCAGATTCTGATGATTCTTTTTTTATTTGTCTGATTTAAATTTGAAAAAAAATTACCTCTAAGGGTAGAAAAATAGGGAATGATTACCTGTTTTAAACGCACGGTATTTTTAACATTATTTTAAGAAATATTGGGATTGCATTTTTTTTTTAGATCAAATAACAATTAAAACGGATATCATTATATATTTTGGACTTAATATAAATTGGTTCTACATCCCCGCTTCAATCTTGAGGTAATTCACTAATGTAACTTTTGTTATTTAGTCCCTACAGGCTACTCTACTTTATTAATTTGGTGAATGAGTCAAGTTGTATTTCTAAAGAAGTAGAATACGTAACAATATTTTAACCATACAGGAAATTTCGTATCTAGGTACTGTTATACAAGGGTCACCTTTATTATACATATTCTGCATATAATAAAGAAAAGTGATTAACATTTAACGGGCCTTTTCAATGAATGCTAAAAATAATTGAATGAAACTGTTACGTCATCTTTTCATATAGATATTAAAGTAATATAAATTCTATGTTAGGTCAACGTTTTGCCTTACCTATATAGATTATATCCATTTAAATTTTGTCAAGTTAACTAAACAAAACAAATGAACATTTTTCTTTTTGACATAGTTTAAGTTTTAGAGTAATTGTCAATGTTAGCAAACGGTTTGTTATTTATTAGTAAAAGCGGTAGAAATTCTTAAATAACCGATTAATATTAATCAATCAATAATTTTTAGTTAAAATGCTCGGAGAAAATAATCATAATAATAGTTTTCAAAACGATACGTCCAAAGACGAATTTAAAACGGAAGATATCTTAGAATTGAGTAATATATCGGAAGAAAAAGGTAAGCTCTTCAAAATAAAAAATAGAAAAATTAAAAAAAATATGTTATATATCACGCAGTTGTAAAATATATGGGGCAACGTTATCTAGAAAGGAAATTTTATACTTGGGCTGGCCAAACTTTGGTGGCTGTCCATCCCTTTGAAGAAAACAGCGGGTGCGAGGTTTGTGCAACATTAACCCTTATTAATATACCAGATAAATAAAAGTGATAAACTTATTAGAATTCCGAAAATGTGAGTGTGAAATTTTGATGTTTAAACATGTTTTCGTTAATTATTTTAAAACTTAACTAGTTCTACCCCCCTATCAGTCACTATGAGCTCGAAATTCTTCGAGTGGTCGAAATTCACTTTTGTGAACAATTTGTTTAATCACTTTCTTTGTGTTAAGAATTGTTCAAAAAATTAAATTTATAGGAATCGTTTGTAAATAGGTATGCAACACATCGTACACTTCACACAAGAAATTTCTGATACTAATTAGGTAATACTACTTTGCCCTGAGTTAACAGCACCAGGGGCGGCCTTTGGGGGTGGCGAGCAGGGCAACCGCCCGGGGCCTCGCTCTTGCAGAGGCCTCGCGCCTTCTTGCAGCAATCTAACTTTATTACGTAGTAATTGTACTTACTAATGCTTATTTGAATTTCTTAATAGTCTTAAAAAAGCTGCAAATATGCTGTCTTTTATTAAAATTTTCCAATTATTTATGAATAACTTTATTTATTATTTGTGAATAACTTTGAATTTGTCGTCAAGTATCATCATTAAAACTAATTCCATAAAGACGAGGGCCTCGGTAAGACTTCGGTAACTGTCTGTGTGTCAGTCAGTTAATTAATACAGTTGTAAAAGGTGCTTTTCCGCGTTTATTTTAAGCACGTTTTTACTTCTAGAATTTTACTACGATTTCGGGACAGCCTGTATCTGTATACATATATACAAGATGTCACATATTATGTTAGATTTCAAACAATACTTTTTACAACTATGTTGACAATAAATTGTAATTTATTTCTCTTCACAGAATGCTGACAGTAGAAAACCGTCAGTAAATGCAGTGATTTCGAGGGTCTGGTTCAGATTAACGAACGAAATCGGAAATGCTAACCAAGCGATTGTTATTTCCGGTGACAGCGGGTCCGGGAAAACGTTTTCCGCCTGCCTGGCGATTAAACACATTGCCGACAAGCAGAGTTACGCACAGGGGAATCCCTCGTGTTCTGTCTTGTGGCAAACGTGGTGTTCGGTACCATTACTAACAGCATTTGGTAAATACAGCAAATACGTTCCCCCCTCTCCTCTTAATTATTCATGATTTATCGTATTTTCACAGTTTAATTTGTCGAAATTTTTAATTAGAGAATATGACCAAAAAACTGTCAAAAAATCTTATTTTAAAGGGAATGCTGCTACTGGGTGCAATAACAATAGCTCTCGCTTTGGAAAATTGATGCAGTTACAATATGAAAACAATCAAATTGTAGGAGCGTTCATTCAAACATATATGTTGGAAAAATCACGCGTTTCGTTTCAGAATAAAGGCGAAGGAAATTTTCACATTTTCCACCAGGTAAAATCATCAGTGACTCTTAAATTACACAAAAATATTATGATGTTTTGGAGCATTGATAAAAATCAATTCAGACAAATACAAAAAAAATTCTGAAGTTTTTTTTTTGTTGAATTTTAATAGTATAAAAATCCGGGACACTATCANAGGGGTTTCTTCGGTGATTTGGGTTCAACAACTTAATTCTATATTTTCTATCTTCAGCAGTTTTCAAATCATATTTTCTTACTATTGGTTCCCTTCTTTTATCTACAACCCTTAGCTCCACCTTCATAACTTTCCTAAATTATTCAAATTCTATATTCTTCAGTTCTAAATCAACCTTCGTTCTACTCTTCTTAGTCTCTAACAGTTATAAAAATAAATATTAGTTTTACCAGACTTTATTATTTTACTATTGAACACGCCAAGAACCAAAGAAGTCAATAAGAAATAGGTGAGATAGACTTGTAGGACACTTTCTCAAGCACATGAAAGGCTAGTTAGGGACATATTAGAAACGAAAATATGATGTACAAAGTGGCAAGATTAGACTGAGATTAGATTTTATTGTTCGCAAGTAGTTAGATGTAGGCCTTCAGTTTTCGAGTTATGCTAGGACTAGCTCAAGGTGGGAACAAGTGGAGATGCATGCCTAAGCAGTATTTGGGCTGCATCCTGGAAAAAAATGGTTTGGGCGATTCATTCCCACCAGCTACTAATGCTGATGAGAGGACAGTGAACTATGCTGGAAGGTAGGAATTTCTTCATACTCCTTCGAGGAATCGTGGGAATAAGTGGATAGTATTTAGAGTGAAAAGGTGAGACGGATGAAATGAAGACAGAAGGGAGTGAAAGATAACCTATGGAATATTATTGCTTCGGCATTTACCTAAGTGAATCAAGGAAGCCACCAAAAAACCTGGTCAGGATTCGGAATCGAACTGATAGCCTTTTGCCGCTCGATGCATACTGATGAATTGATACAGCTATCAAGGGAGATGAAGATGTGGGGAAGAAGTGGGATGATGAAAGAACTGCGATTAGAAGCGGTTGAAAATGAGGAGCTATTAAAAAGAGGGCGCTTTTTTGGAAGTCGTTGATGAAAAGGAAATAAAAGATTATCCTAGATCAGATTACTGTTAGTAAACAGGATGTGAAATGTTGCAGTTTTGTGAGAGTTGGTTTATAAAAAAGTGACTGCCCTACCAGTTTTCGGACTGATGACCCTATGATGATTGATGATGATGATGATGATATACTGTGATACCTTTTTATCCTTTTTGCTGATCCCATGTATAGGTAGTTTAGAATGACATGGACCATCAGGTGCGCGAGATGCGGGCCTAATCGCATTCATTAAACATTATTGAAACATGAAGTTATTTTCTACATTTCTAGCACTTATTTTTCGTATTACTTATATTAACCCATGATTCTGGTCCTCATCGATTCCCTTATATCGATCCCTTTCCTAAACTACTCCCTGACACCTGCTCCTGATAAATTTTTAAGCTATTCAAAGTCCTCTTATCTACCTTTCGTCCCTATTTCCAATACTTCTCCCTGATATTCCCCACTTCCAGCCTCCCTCATATTTTACTATCCCTTTTAACGCATCTACTCACATATCTCCTATCTTCTCTCTAATTACAAAGCCCACTTGATACAACATAAAACCTCTATCTCCTTCTTTTCCTCCTATTCCCATAGTTTCACCTCATAAAACACTATGCTCCTCACAATAACATTAAATAACATCAGTTTCCTATCCCAATAATCCTTCTATGATTCCTGACTTAATCCCAGTACTCTTTTTGTATTTGCCCATTCATATTGTACGTTCGGAAAACATTTACTCGACCTTGTCTTTCTCTCTCTCTCTCTCTACAAATGTAGAAATCAATAAACGAGTAGAGTTTTCTCACTGGCCAAGGTTCATGTCATTCTAAATTACCTCTACCTCTCATTTAATACCATTCAAGACAATATACACTAGTGGCAAGATGAGAGCCGAACATTACTTCCAACTATAGGTGTGGTTGAAAAAATATATTCTACGTTCGGTGAACATTTTACCTTACCTATACAAGAGCTCAAACTACATATATGTATTTCAAATAATTTTTAATCTTGTTAGGCCCCTCTATTTTTAACAGATACCACAGTGTTTGTAGAAAGGGCGACCGATTTGTTAAAAACACAGCCACGGCAATTAATACATTTGCTTACAAATCGCTTCATATCGGCCACGAGTCAGGGAAAGCGCAGGGTGACCTGTTACAGTTCGCCCTGTAACAACCCTGAAGAGTGCAATGAACGTCGAAATTGTCTCATGCGCTACCTCTACGACAGTCTCTTCACCTGGTTAGTTAAACGAATAAACCACAACATATGCAAGGATGGAAACTACAAGCTGCTAGGTAAAAGTTTGTAATTTTTATATTATGTTTGAGGATCTTAAGGATACAAATATGACAAATAATGAATGAAAAAAAATGCTTCTGAGGTGCTATGTAAATAAAAAAAACTTCAAAACCACTTTTAGGCATTTTGGACATTTATGGTTTTGAAGTGTATGACCATAACACATTTGAACAATTGTGTATTAATTATGCGAATGAAAGGTTACAGCAACTATTTATAAAAGATTACCTTATAACAAAGCAGGAGGAATTGAAAATTAATTTTATACTTGAAAACGTCCAAGAGATTAACGAAAACGAATATCAAGAACGAATATCGTTATTGGATGGTCCCATATCTATTTTTAGCATATTAAACGAGGTATATGTTCGAATATGTGTTTTTTTATATTAAAAGAGCTCTAAAATTTTCTAAAGTTATTCAGAACAGGTAACTTTTTCTGTGTAGGAGTGTACCCTAAAGCGATTCAGTAACGACATATTTGTGACTTCTCGTTTCGCTGTTGCACTTAAAGAAAAAAGACACTTCGTTTCTGTACAGAACGCGTTTTCCACTGAATTTTCAATAAAGCATTACGCTGGTGTTGTAAAATACAATACAGATTCGATGGCCGCAAAAAACAGCGACAAGGTAAAAGAAACAACATGTGCACCCCTTATAAAAAAATATTAACATAAGCGAAAAAAAAAATATTTCAGGTGCCGGACGAAATGTCCCATTTTATTTTCAATTGCAGACAGGAATTTCTGGAAAAACTTATGGAAGGTAATCCGTATGTTCAAATTCCAAAAGACAGCGGTAAAACGCTTCTTCAAAAATTTAAGGTATTTTTATACAATAACAAACTAATTAAAAACTAAATAAACTTATCTAAACAATATTAAAAATGAAGAATTGAATAATGACTTAATAACTCACTGAACCAATAATAATAGCAAAACGTTAAAATCAATATTGATTAGTTCATCACTTTCATTGCAGTTTTCAACAGTTTATCATTTTTCAATTTTTTTTAATTTAGTTTCAGTTTTCACCCTTTAAAACAATACAAATTTAACATAAATTATATTTGTGTACGTATTTTTCTGAAAATCTATAAATATTTAGATGCTGATTACATTTCTTATTTGTATTTATAATTTAACATTTAAAATTAGAGTACACCTAAGTAGAAAAAAAAAAATAAAATAATTTAATTTACCTGTGTTTCAGGATCCAAAGAGCTTTGGAAAGCTGGAGGTCCTTTTGAAGAATCCCTCCCCTTCTTCTTTCTTCTTTTCCCTCTTCTTTTAAGCGGTTCTTCGTCTTCAGCTCCCTTCTGGTTTTTTTCTGCATCTTCTGCAGTCTTCTTCGTCTCTACGACATCTAGAAGAGCCTAGAAGCAAAAAAAAAAGACATCCTGTTATTAATATTCGCTTCATTAAATAGGTAAATATTTCTCTAAGCATGTAATTGTTTTTAATAGGTATACCTTATCTCGTTTATCTTTGTACTTGGTTCCTGGAGGTATTGATCGCGTTTTATTCAATTTTTTGCGATTGTCGTCCCCTAGACTTCTTGTAGAACGCAAAGATCCACCGCCACCGTCAGCTAAAGGGGCGGGAAAAATTTTTATCAAGGGTGTTTCGTGGTATAATGAGCTGCCATACCACGACAACGTTTCCTGAAAAACATTTTTCATTACAACTATTCCTATATTTCATCATTATTAGATGACACAAAAGAAAAAAACTATTAAGTAAAGTAAATTGGAAACCATCATTTAATGAATTTTAAAACAATTAATTTAGCAATAAAGAACGTTTTTAAATATTTTAAAATTTAATATAACAAATGATAGAACTCTTTTAGATACTTATTTATCTAATCATATAAAAGTGTTTAAAGTAAAGGAAACACTTACTTGACTATGACTCCTTCTCAAATCTAAAATTAACATTGTTTTTTCTTTTATTTCTGCGTTAAAAGTGGGATCAGGTGTGATACATCTTCGGGAACCCGACGCCCTTGTGTATGCACTAGCTAAAGTTGGGGCAGGGGTTAAAGGTCGTGAGTCTGTGTCTGTGTACCTAAAATAGGGTTAAAAAATACTACTTCATATTTTCATTAAGGGCTACAAAACAAACGTTAATAAATTATTGCTATTTTTTTAAGTAAATAAATTTGTTTCTTGTAAAGTTGGGATAAAACAATTTTTTTGCATAACCCAGTATGTTATTACAATTTATTATTAGTAATTTAAGTTAATAATAATTTTTTTATTTGCATCGCTTATTGTTTTCATAGGTTTGTATTTACACTCAAAATTAGTTATAGTTTCTTAAATGTTTTGTTTCTTGAACATAATGTATTACAAACTTGAAAAGAAGCAAGTAAATTAGTCGGTGTTCTGTAAAACCTGTCTACGGCGTGCTGATGAGAACCCAAGAGATCGAAATCACGATTCGATTCTGACGGTTTTTAACAAATCATTGAAATTTGTTTCAAAAAGCAACGTTATAACAATAAAATGATATACTAATGGAATAATGATATTTCTTTTCTAATTTCTGGATTAATCTTTTTCACATATGATATTGAATAATATTGAATTAAGATTATGTGCAATGTATTATTACATTTTTTTTATTTACCTTCTAAATAATTCCTCCGGGACACTATCAATAGTTGTTTTAATTTCATCGTTTATAATCGAATAAGTATTTTCATTTGGATTTAATCTAAACTGTTCCAAATTATTACGTATTGCTTGTACTTCTTCCACAAGAAGTATATTTTTCCCTTCCGTAGCCTACAAAAATTTATTAATTTACACAATTTTAGAAACTAGATATAAAAATTCTGACAAAAAATTGTGATTATGTTCCAAGTAGTTTAATACATAATAAAGAAAATATTTCTTACCCAGGCATCTCTCGCTCTTTTTACCAATTCCTTTGAATCGCTATTTCTGGGATGATTGCACAGGAGTGAACATCCATAAGGATAAGGTTTGTACAGACCAGCAAAGGGTTTAAGAATGAGGGGTGCCGGTGTTACTATGGCTTTCAGTTCTATATCATCTTCAACCTAGAAATAAAAGTTACTTTTACTCCTATTCTTTATAAAACACACCTCTAAATTAATCAAAAGAAGATTATATTAAAAACACTAATATACCTGTCTTTTTTTAATTAATTTAACTTTTTTGGTTGGACTGGCTAATAGTCCTGTTCTACTGGTCTCTGTCATAATTAAAGTGTACGTTTGTTTGTACCTTCTTACTTTTATATCGATCAAACATCAATCCACGATAATAGCTAAGCAATAGAAGGATGAGTATAACTATTTTAATGCTTTTGTCTTGCCTTACATTTAGTTGAATTAATTTCGAAAACAATTAAGCTAATGAAGATTCAAAATAATTACATTAAAATGTTTCACAGAAAACATATGGTCATAGAATTTAACTGAAAAAATTTATTAATCAGCGAATAAATTAAACGCTTTTTTGCCAAAAAAAAATCAAGTCTACCCCTATATATTTTTTTATGTTTGTATAACTACGCATAACTTTTTACAGAAGTCAGATTCTGATGATTCTTTTTTTATTTGTCTGATTTAAATTTGAAAAAAAATTACCTCTAAGGGTAGAAAAATAGGGAATGATTACCTGTTTTAAACGCACGGTATTTTTAACATTATTTTAAGAAATATTGGGATTGCATTTTTTTTTTAGATCAAATAACAATTAAAACGGATATCATTATATATTTTGGACTTAATATAAATTGGTTCTACATCCCCGCTTCAATCTTGAGGTAATTCACTAATGTAACTTTTGTTATTTAGTCCCTACAGGCTACTCTACTTTATTAATTTGGTGAATGAGTCAAGTTGTATTTCTAAAGAAGTAGAATACGTAACAATATTTTAACCATACAGGAAATTTCGTATCTAGGTACTGTTATACAAGGGTCACCTTTATTATACATATTCTGCATATAATAAAGAAAAGTGATTAA